AAAAAAAAAAAAGTTAAACATCTATTCATATCTTTTTTTTAAAAAAAAAACTAGGATTCCCCATCCCTTTTTTACTTTACTTTGAGACAGAGTCTTGCTTAGTTGCTCAGGCTAGTTTCAAACTAGTGATTCTTCTGCCTCACCCTCCCTAGCAGCTGAGGTTACAGGCCTACACAACCGGCTTTATTCATATTTTATCTAAAAAAATGTTTTCAATAGTCTAAGATTCCAGATATTTATATTCATTTTTACTTTTTTGCTTAAGAAATTTTTTTAAGTGTATATAGCAGAATTCGTATAATACCAGAGAGGAAAAGCTTAAATTATCCAATTGTAATTGTTATTAGGAAAAAAGAATGATAGTGCCATAATCCTGTTGACAACATTCACAGAGGACTCAGACAGAAGCAATTTGTCTTCAAGTGTTAAGGAACAAGTCTCTCTGGGTTTTGTAGTGACACTGTTCCCTTATGTAAGTGAGGATGCCTGATTTGTGTAAGGGCTGGACTTTGATTTCTCATGTCGGTAAGCCCCTGAAGAATTGGCATTTGACTTATTGCAGTGAATTCTCCAAGTCACAAGCCAGCTTTTAATTTTACTGAATGATGTTTTTACTGAATTTCAGATGTTTTTTGTGAAATTTTCACAGTAAAATAGGTTCATTACATTTGTATAAACAATATTTCCCCTAATGTTCTTTTTCTTTAAAGTATCTTTATGCATTCAGTATTGTTCCCATGAAACTGATGGATGCAGCAGAATTAGTAAAACAGCCTCCAGATGTCACTGAAAACCCTTATAGAAAATTTGGGAAGGAAGCATCCATAAGAAAGCAAATTCCTCCTGCTGAGGTACGTTTTGATTGAGGGTAGAATTTTCTGGGCAGGGTTGCCCTTGCAGGTATACTTTTCCTGATAATACTTTAATACATAAAATACATTTAATGCTTAGAATCGGAATCTTGTTTCCCTTGAGAAATCATAATAGTATTTAGAAAGTCTTAGTAGATTTCAACTAAACTCAGTGATTTTTGTTGTAATTTGGTATTTTTACATATTAAGTCTTTCTTTGGTTAACTTTAATTCATATATTGGGGTTACAGTTTCATATGTTAAGTTTTTCCTTGTCTAACTTTATTATCCTTAACTCTGCAGGTAAGGATATAGCTTAGTAGCGGTATAATTTATTATTTATAATAAAATTAATTTTTCTTCCACCTAAGGAAGGAACATCAACTTCCTTTACTAGGATACATGGTCTACCTTCTTAGAGTTCTCTTCTCAAAAAGACCTCTCTGTCTCTCCATTTTACTTTGCTCCTAGTGATTCTTTCTTTTTGTCTTTAATTAAAGTTGAATTAGACTTGTTCAACTTGTGAAACTGTAGGACTACCCTTTGTCTCTATTGATAGAGAAAGGAAGAGGTATCGTGTTAGGTTTATATTGATTTTAGGCTAGAATTACTTTATACCTTGCAATTTAACTTATTTTCCCCAAGTGATGCATTGGGTGGTAACTTGGATAAGTGTATTGAGATACATGACTGACAGTCTGGTTATCAGGTTTGGGAGAATATTTTTCTCCCATGGAATAGGCAGGAAGGGCTGGAAAGAAACATGGGAATGAAATGGCAGGAATGTTCCCTTGTGTGTGAATGGTTGGCTGCTTGTCTAAAGGTTAGTTGAAAATATATTCTTCTCCCTTTTATCATTCCAGGAACAATCAACTTGTCAGTTCTTCTTTGACTTAAATGAAAAGCAGGGAAGGAAACGTTCATCCATGGGCAGAGAGAGCAAACCACCTCACCCAAAGCAGCCTCGCAAACCTCGTAAGTATCTTGGTTCCATTGGTCTTGTATGTGAGCAATAACTGTTTTGTAGTTTTGTTTTGAAGATAGCATTGCTAAGAATGCATCTTCTGGCAGAGAAAAATTGTACAGAATCATTAGGGACAAAAATAAAGACAAAAATAATGTAAATGGCTTGACTTTGAAGCTACCTGAAGCTTTTTCTCTAAAAACTTTACAAAGAGCATCTTTTCTTTGTGTTTATAAAACATGATGAAGTAAAGGTTCATAAAATAATCAAACTGAGAGAATTTTCATTCCTATTTTCACCCTCTTATTTCAAAGGTGAAGAATCTGACCTTGGAGGGTAAACTGTTACTCAGGGTCACGTGGCTAGTTAATGGCAAAGCTGGGACTAGAATTGGTGTGCAGCGAAAGCTCAGTATTCTTTCATTGCAGCCTATTGCCAGCTACATAAATATGGGATTATTACCAGATATTGTTCAATGCTGTTCCAAAGAAGATACTCCTGGGGAACCCTGACCTACCTCACCTGTAGGGCAGGTTACAGGTTCTCACACTTCCATCCCAGAAAAAGAATTTTCAGGATGAATCAGTAAGAGTCATATAGGGATTCTCTAGGCAGAATCTTAAAAGTTCACACTCAAAGAAATAGAATGGGTTCTCAAAAGGGATAGAAGTACCTTGTGGCTCAGTATATTTATGGGAATTTGGATGTGTCTCTAAAATGGGTTATCTAGGGCAGCAATGGCAAATCTTTCAGAGCTTTCAATGATAAAATCAGCCAGTTGCAGCACGAGTGCCATAGGTTCACCACCACTGATCTAGGATATGTAGTCTAGTTTTTGTCAGGTTTTGCCAATTTGGTGAGCTATGTTAAAAATGCACACCATTTACAGTATATGTGTTTGAAGCTAAAATATGCTGTTGTCTAAATAGTATGCTTCCCAAGAATTAGGGTTGATAGGAAGGAGTTGTCTTTAAGGCCCTTAGTAATTTTTTGTGGAAGGGAAGAAAAGCTTGAATAACTTTTGTGTCCTGAAACTGCAGGGTTTTTTTAAAAGCACAATTCAAATATAATTTTCCTTTCTATTTCTTCTGTTCTACCTCAAGATAATCTATTTGTGGGTCACTACCTGGAATTGGTAACAATTTCAGAGCTTCTAGTAGAGGTTTAGTTCCATTGAAATTGGTGTGTGGATGGAGTTGATGCTGAAGAGCACAAGTCCAGCTTCTTATGGTGATGTTACATACACTCTTTGCAGTGTATAAAGATCAGCCGAGGCTGAGTTTTAAGGCTGGTTAAATGTCAGACTGATCAAGCACTGCTAACACTTGGCTTTCTTCCATGTGAAGCTCAGCCTCCAGGACCCTGCTGGTTTTGCCTTGCCAGCCCTGAAGTGGAAAAACATTTGGTGGTCAACATTGGCACACATGTAAGTTATCCAAGGGATCTTTTACAGAGGAGGTACCTGTTTTTTTGTTTTGTTTTTTAATTGTTACTGAGGCAAGATCTGCATATAAAATGTAGCCATTTTGAGTGTATAATTCATTGATTTTTAGCAAGCTTACTAAGGCAAACACTATATAACAGTTTTGGAACATTTCTTTCACTCCAGTAAGATGTCCTTTGACCATTTATATTTAATCTCTTTCTCTGCCCTTTGCCTCAGGCTATCACTAGTCTGCTGAATGTCTTTAAAGTTTTGTGGTTCCTGGACATAAACTGGAATCATACAGTATATGGTCTTTAGTGTCTGGCTTCTTTTTAAAACATTTTTTTTATTAGTGCATATTTGTAGTACATAATGAATACATTCTTGCATTCATTATGCGGAACTGATACAGGTGCATAACACATCTCAATTCTTTTTTTTTTCCTCTTCCCCTCCTTCCTTGTTTTTCATTATCTTTTTGTTATCTCCAGCATCCAATTTATTTTATGACTTTACTAACTTAATTGGCACACACACAGATTAACAGCCAGACTTACAGGTGAAAAAAACGTAAAACATGTGAAACAATTATACTGAATCAAGGTACGCATTTAGATTTGTTGGCTATGGTGGATTACGAAAATGTTTTTTCTCTTTTTTTCCTATTTATCTGTCTTTTATTTTGAAATTCAAGTAATTACTTTATTTTTTTGTTTGTTTGTTTTTGGTACTGGGGATCAAACTTGTGAGGCAGGCGGCAGAACCACTGAGCTAAATCCCCAGCCCTATCTGTCTTTTATTTTGCACTTAAACTTTACATACTAGAATTCTCATGTAAGAGAAATGATGCAATATTTAAGCTTATGTATCTGATTTACTGCACTTAAAATTATGTTCTTAAGTTACACCAATTTTCCTACAAGTAACTCAAGTTTATCCTTCTTTATGATTGAGTAGTACTCCAGTGTGTAGGCTGCTTCCAAGATTTAGGTATTATGAGTTGTACTACTATAAACAAGTATGCATGTTTCACTCTAATAAGATCTCTTTAACTTTTGGGAAGATACCTAGAAGGGGAATAGCTGGATCAAATATAATTTCTATTTTTTTGAGGAATCTCCATGGTGATGTCCATAGTGATTATACTAGTTTACACTCCCACCAACATTAAAGAAGAGTTCCTTTTTTCCCCTGCAGCCTCTCCATCATTTGTTAGTTTGATTTTTGTGAAGATAGTCATTCTTTCTAGAGGGAGGTGGAATCTTAGTGTTATTTTAATTTGCATTTCTCTAATGGCCAGCAATGTTGAACAATCTTTTATGTACTTTTTCATCTGAAGAGTGTCTATTCATTTCAGATGCCCATTTTTTGATTGGGCATTTAAATTTGTGGGGGCTCTAGTTTTTTATTGCATTCGTTATATATATTCTAGATGTTAGTCCTTTGTCTAAAGAGTAGCTGGCAAAAGTTTTTTCCCATATTGTAGGTTGTCACTTCATTCTGTTGGTTGTTTCCTTTGCTGTGCAAAAGCTTTTTAATTTGATATGATCTCATTTGTTGATTCTTGGTATTGTTTTTTATGCAACTAGGATTCTGTTCATACAGCCTACACCTGTCTTCAAGAGTTTTACCTATTTTGTCTTCCAACAAATTGTATTTCTGTTTTAGTATTTAAATATTTGAGCCATTTTGATTTTAGTTTAGTCCATGGCGAGAGAGATGTAGGTTCAATCTTCTGTATGTGGTTAGCCAGTTTTCCCAGCACCATTGTTAAACAGGCTTTCTTTCCTCCAACAGAAGTGTTTGGTCACTCTGTCAAAGATAAGGTAGTTAAGTGTGCCTGGAGTTATTTCTGCATCCTGTAGTCTGTTCATTGATCCACAAGTCTTCTTTTAGTTTTTTGTTTTTTGACAATAGCATGCCGTTTTTATTGCAGTAACTTTATAGTATAACTTGGAAGTCCAGGATTGTGATTCTCCCTGCCTTGCCCTTGTTGTTATTCTGGGACACTTCTGGTTTCATATGAATTTTAGAATTGTTTTACCTAGTTCTGTGAGGAAGTGCTATGGTATTTTGATTAGTATTACATTAGGACTGGGGATTTATCTCAGTGGTGCTGCCACCTGTTTCATAAGCACAAGGTCTCGAGTTTAATTCCCAGTACCCCCCTAAAAAATACTAGCTCTGATGGGTATTACATTAAATCTGTGTAACAGTTTTGGAAATATGGCCATTTTTTTACTATATTGGTTCTGCCTGTCCATGAGCAGGAATATCTTTCCATTTTCTCTTTGATCTCCTTTTTCAGAGTACTGTAGTTTTCATTGTACAAGTCTTTCATTTTCTTGGCTAGGTTAGTTCCTAAGTATTTAATTTTTCTTGGTGATATTGTAAAAGGAATTATTTCCCTAATTTTTTTCTTGGTGAGGTTATTATTAGTTTACGGGAATAATATTAATCTTTGAGTGTTGACTTTGTATCCTACTATGCTATTGAATTTATTTATTAATTCTAGAAGTATTTTGGTGCAGTTTTTGTGGTCCTCTGTATAGAGGATCATGTCATCTGCAAATACAGTAATGATAATGTAATTTCTTTCTTTCCTATCCATATTCCTTTTATGTCTTTGTCTTGTATAATTGTTCTGGCTAATGTTTCAAGAACTATATTGAACAGAAGTGGTGATAGCTTGTCTTGCTCCTGATTTTAAAGGGAAAGCTTTCAGTTTGTCTCTGTTTAATAAGATGTTGGCCATTAGTTTATCATAGATGGCTTTTATCAGATAGACTTTTTCTACCTATTTTTTCATTATTTTTATCATGAATGGATAATGAATTTTGTCAAATGCCTTTTTTCTCTCTGTTGAGGTGATCATGTGATTTTTGTCCTTGCTGCTTTTTATGTGGCTTGTTGCATTTATTGATTTGTGTATGTTGAACCATACCTGCATCCTTGGAATGAATCCTACTTGGTCATGATGTGTGATCTTTTGTTTTGTTTTGGTTTTGTTTTAGTTTTTTGAGACAGGGTCTCACTATGTAGTTCAGACTGCTCTGGAACTCACTGTGTAGCCCAGGCTGGTCTCAAACTTGCGATCTTCCTGCCTCAGCCTCCTCCTGCCTCAGCCTCCCACATGCTGCGATTACAGGCATGCGCCACCATGCCCTGCTCCTCTTTTTGATAATTTGATGCATTGTTTGTCAGTTTTCTTACTGAGGAGCTTTGCATCTATGTTCACTAAAGAGATTGGCCTGTAGTTCTCTTTTTTTTTGGTTTTGTCCTTTTCTGGCTCTATAGTCAGGGTAATGCTTGCCTCCAGGAATAACTGAGGATAGTGGTTTCCTCCCAATTTCATTAAAGAGTTGGAGGAATATTGGCATTAAATCTTCTCTACAGTTCTGGTAGAGTTAGGCAGTGAATCTGGGCTTTTCTTAGTTGGTGTTTGTTATTTTTGTTTTTTTTTTTTCACTTTTTCAATTTCATTGATTAATATCAGATTATGTGGTATATTTGTATCTTACTGCTTTAGCTTTGGTAGTTCATATATATCTAGGAATCTATCCATTTCCTTTGAATTTTTGTTTTGTTTTTTGTTATTTATTTATTTATTTATTTTTGGTACTGGGGATCGAACTCATGTCCTTGCACTTGCGAGGCAGGCGGCGGAACCACTGAATTAAATCCCCAGCCCTGAATTTTTTTATTTTATTAGAGTATACTTCTCAATATAGTTACCAATGATTTCAGTTTTGATGGAATCTTCTGTGGTTTTGCCTTTTTCTTCTCTAATTGCATGGATTTAGGTCTTTTCTTCCCTTATTTCGGTAAAATTGGCTAAGGGTTGATCTATTTTGTTTATTTTTTTGAAGTACAAGCCAGGCATGGTGATATAAACCTGTAATCTCAGCATTTGGGAGACTGAGGTGGGAGGATTGCCACAAATTTGAGTCTAGCCTGAACTACATAGTGAGACTTTGTATCAAAAAAAAGAAAAAAAAGCAAGCAAGAAAGAACAAATTCTTTTTTTTTTTTTGAAAGAACAAATTCTTGAATTCATTGATTCTTTGTATTTTTTTATTCAATCTCAGTTTTATTAATTTTTGCTCTGATTTTTTGGGGGTTTTTTGAGACAGGGTCTGTAGTGAGACTGACCTGGAACTCACTATGTAGCTCATGCTGGTCTTGAACTCACAGCTATCTTCCTGCCTCAGCCTCCCGAGTGCTGGGATTACAGGCATGCACCACCACACCCGGCCTCTGCTCTGATTTTTGTAATTTCCTTCCTAGCTTTGGATTTGAACTGTTCTTGTATTTCTAGGATGTCGGTATGCATCATTAGGTTATTTATTTGAGCTTGCTTTGTTTTTCTGATGTGGAGGTTAACCACTATAAACTTTCCTCTTGGGACTACTTTTTCTTTTTCCATAGGTTTGGGTATGTAGTACTGGCATTACTGTTTGATTTTAGTAATTGCCTAATTTCTTTCTTAATTTCATCTTTGACCATTGATTATTCAAGAGGGTATTGCTTAATTTCTACGAGTTTGCATGGTTTCTTCTCTAGTGTCATTGCACTGTGATCCAATAATATGCATGGGATAACTTTTATTCTTTTACATTTACTTAAGCTTGCTTTACAGTATAGTAGCTAGTATGTGGTCTGTTTTGGAGAAAGTCCAATGTGCTGCTGAGAAGAATGTGTATTCTGTTAGATTGAACATTCTGTAGATACCTATTAAGTCCATTTGTTTGAAGGTTTGGTTCAACTCTGATAATTCTTTTTTGACTTTTTGTCTGGTTGATCTTTGCATTTGTGAAAGTAGAGTATTAAGGTTCCCCTTTGTAATTATATTGATGTTTATCTGATTTTTCATGTTTGTTAGTGTTTGTTTTCTGTTTTTGTTTTGTTTTGTTTTTTCTGGGCTCCTGTTGTATGTAATTTTTTTCTCCAGTTTTTTATTTTTAATCTTTAAATTTCTTTTGGAGTTAAAAGTGTTTTTT